TTTTTTTTTTTTTTTTTTATTTCTTTATTGTTTTAAAAGAACATGATTTTTCTTGGGAATCTGCTTGAAGGCTGCTGCTGTGTGGATGATTTAAAAGTTTATTTAAGTGATACTCAGATTTTTTATTTTTTATTTTTTATTTGAGCAATGGGCAGTTTGGATAATAGGGATTTTTTTTTCTTTAAATGTATGTGATTAATTGTTTTGGGATTGACGATCCGAACACGGCTAGAGAAGTCTATGGGGTCGGGTCGGGTGGAAACCTTTGTGTCCCTGTCTGTCTCTGTCTCTTATTTCATTTATCATTCTCGGTAAATTCTCTATTTATTTTTTGAGAAATTGGCATAGTGATTCTCGTCTCCATCTCCTATTTCACTTCTTATCCTCCTAAATAAAGAGATTCTAACTAGGAAATTTTTTCGGGAACGGATTCCGATGAAAATTTTGTCCATATATATTAAAAACGGTAAAATGTATATATATATATATATATATATGGGACAAGATCGAAAACCGGGAATGTAATCATCGTCTTTGGTTACCTTTAGATGAGAGATCTCTCTTCACTCCCTCCAAACAGGGAGTCTCCACTAATTATAGACATCTTTAAACATACATACATACATATATATATAGAGAGAGAGAGAGGACAAGATCGAAAACGGGGAATGTAATACTCGTGTTTGGTTACATTAAGAGGAAAAATTCCTCCCCGCTCCCTCCAAACAGGGGTTTTTTCCAGCTTGTTTGAGGCGGGTCTCCACGGATTAAATGGGCATCTTTAAACACATCTCGACTATCCTCGACTAAGAGGTCTAAGAATTGAATCCCCTCGGCCCTTTTTTTTACAAGTTCGTGTAAAGAAACTCTGTCTCAGAACTGTCAATTTCATGTCTAATAAATCCTTGACGTATTCAAATTAACCCTAACTTTTAACCTTAGGTTTATTATGTTCGTAAATTTTAAAATAAGTTAAAAATTTATCAAATACAAAAATAAATAATTAATATTGAAAATTTAAAAAATATATATTTATTGTTTTTTTTTTTTTCTTTGAGGAAATTAAATGTGTTCCCTAACTACTTTGCCTAATTTGTTTCTATTATAAAATTTTCCAAATTTGAAAAAAAAAAATCAAATTTTATTATTTTAAATTTTAAATTTGTATTTTCTTTTAAGGAAGGTTTAATGTTATCCAAAATAATAATAATAAACAAATAAAAAGGTATGGTCTTCGGTTGACTTTCACGTCGTCATAAGTCAACGTAAGAATAAATTTTATAAACAACAACATGTGAGTTTTAATTCATTCGAGAAGAGATTCAAATACCTTATCAATTAAATTATGTTCGTATTTAACTTTTCTACTCTCGCATCCAACCTCGGGTATTTAGAAGGGGTTTTTACGCTTTACAATTGGAACAGGAGACCTCGAATGAGTCGGGTCTCTCGAGGCGAGATATATATGATCGACATTTCGAGTGTCCCGATGATACAACAAGTTAATTGGAAGAAATGGAATTGAATAATCTAGCTGATTTCTGTCTTTCTCGGTGACTTTGCCCGACAATTAAGCTGCATTTTCTTCTATCAAATAGCTTTTTCGAGCGATTATGACAAGATTACTCGTAGAAAGTTCATGGAATCAATTATGATTATGATAATTTTGCTAAATTTATGGAGTCAATTCAAATTATGATATTTATTATAAATAATTTCAAAACTAAGCAATCATATCATATTAAATTCAAAGTTACTCCATGACTATGTTAATCATATTTTAGTTCAAGATGCATATAAAGGAATCATTGAACAATGTCTCATAATTTAAGGATATATATTAAAAAAAATGTCACATCATTCTAAACTAAAACTATATATTAAAAAATAATCAATGTTTAAAAAATATTTAAAAAATATTTAAAAAATTAATTCAAAGATGTCCCGCATTGGTTGGGGAGGAAAACAAAACACTTCTGATACGGGTGTGGAAACTTTCCCCTAACAGACGCGTTTTAAAGTCTTAAGGGAAAGTCCAAATAGGACTATACCTACTAGCAGTGGGTCTGGGTCGTTACAAATGGTATTAGAGCCAGACACCAAACGATGTGTCAGCCTTGTCGCTGTTCCTCGAAGAGGGTAGACACGAGGCGTTGTGCTAGTAAGGACGTTGGGTTAAGGAAGAGTAGATTTGGTAAGGGAAGCCTGATTATGAATCTTTTCAGCTCAAACAGTACTGTTATCCAGACGATGTGCCGACCTTGTCGTTGTTCCTCGAAGGGGGTAGACATGAGGCGGTGTGCTAGTAGGGACGCTGGGCCTTAAGGGAGGGTAGATTTGGTAAGGGAAGCACGATTATGAATCTTTTTAGCCCACACAGCACCGTTATCCAGACGATGTACCAGCCTTGTCGCTGTTCGTCGATGGGGGTAAACACGAGGCGATGTGTTAGTAAGAACGCTGGCCCCAAATGGGGTTAGATTTGGTAGGAGAAGCCCGATTATGAATCTTTTCAGCCCAAACAACATCGTTTATCCGGACGGTGTGCCAGCCTTGTCGCTGTTCCTCGAATGGGGTAGACACAAGGCAGTGTGCTAGTAAAGACGCTGAGCCCCAAAGGGGGTGGATTTGGTAGGGGAAGCTCGATTATGAATCTTTTCAGCCTAAACAACACCGTTAACTAGATGATGTGCCAGCCTTGTCACTTTTCCTCGAAGGGGGTAGACACAAGGCGTTGTGCTAGTAAGAACGTTGATCCCAAAGGGGGGTGGTATCCGGACAATGTGCCAGCAACGAACGTTGAGCCCCCAAGTGGGGTGGATTTGGTAGGGGAAGGTCGAATATGATTCTTTTCAGCCCAAACAGCACCGTTATCCAGACGATGTGTCAGCCTTGTCGCTGTTCCTCAAAAGAGGTAGACACGAGACGGTATGGTAGTAAGGACGTTGGGCCCCAAAGGGGGGTGGATTTGGTAGGGGAAACCCGATTATAAATCTTTTCAACCCAAACAACACCGTTATTAAATACAACCATAACTGTTCTAAATTGGGTTGCTCGGGATGTTTATGTCATTTATTCAAATTTTTATTCTTAATAAAAATAAAACTGGTTAGATTGAATTGATCAAAAAAATTTAATCTTTAAGGTGATCTAATACGTGTTTTGATTAGCTACAAAGTCATCAAATTTTCATCGATTTATTTATATTTTATATAAATAAAATACATTACCCAATCAAATACTTTATTTTATTTTATTATATATTTAATTAATTTTGGTAGGAAATAAATTAAAATATTTAATTTCACAATTACTTTATAATGGCTTAAGAAATCAAGCCAACGTCCTTTTCCCACCAAATTCTTCCAACTTTGGAAAATTTTATTCAAAGCATTAATTATGTCATCTTTTTAGTTGGAGCCATTAATTTTGAAAGGGATAATTTTTTTTTATTAAAAATAGTAAATACCCGAAAAAATTAGGTTTGATGTCGACGTGTGGAGTAAAGCTTGAAATTGTAGTTGTTCGTAGATTAGGTTGGGTCGAATTTAGACGTTATTTAGATCCAATTCAATTGTTCGGGTTGTCATAAAAATATTGAGTTGCATTAGTTCAATCGTAAACCAACCAAACTGCATGGGTCAATTGAGCTGATTGAGTTCTCCGAGCTACCGTGACTTTTGAATACTTCTACTAAGAAAGTGTCACGAAAGATGCTTTTAGCTCACTGTCTTTGATGATTTCTCGTTTATTCTCTGTTGATCTGCCTCTCTATTTATAATCTAGAGGGTCGATGTAATCGGTGCTTAACACAGTTTGAACTCTTCCCGAGTTTCTCTCGTATTGGGAAAAGCTTATCCTCACTAGCGTTCGTCTAATCTAACAGAACGTTCCGGATTTTATTAATTATCTGTCTAATAATTTTTAAACCCGACTTTCATAAGAAAATCAATTTAGATTTTTTTTTTTTTTTTGTAAAATTCTTAAAAAATAATAATTTTGAGTTTAAATTAATTATACAAACTATATTTTAAATTCATACGATAATTTAATAAAAAAAATAATAAAATTAGGAGATATAATAATGGAGGGGGAGAGAGAGAGATTTTTCCAATATAAAAAGGAAAATGTTGACTTTGACCAAGTCAAGTGGGTGGACGGTGGGGACCACAGGAAAGCATGGCATGTGAGAGAAATAAGTTCATTAAATAATAAAATATAAATGGTCGTGGGGTCCACATTAAAGCACGCCAGCATGACGACAAGCTTGCGCGTGGGATTGATTTTTTATTTTATTTTATTTATTTTTGTTTCTAAGTTTTGCTATGTCCCTTTCTATTCAAAACTTTAATCATTCTCGGTCTTATCTATCAAAATTCTATCCCTTCCATTTTCAAATTTATTTTTGGCATGGAATACGTACGAATGCTCGATGATTGTTTTTTATTGTTCGTCTTTTAGTTTTGAGAATTATTCTAAAAAACGATGTTCGTTTTGTTCTGAATGTCGAAATTTTCGATAATTTGGATTTAGAATGAAACTTAAACGTTAGGTGGACCTAGACCGTTACAAATGGTATCAGAGCTAGTAAGGACGATGACCCTAAAAGGGGTGAATTTGGTAGGGTCCCACATCGATTGGAGAAGGAACGAGTCCCCGCGGTGGACCTGGGCCGTTTCAAAATGGTATCAGAGCCGGTAAAGACGCTGGCCCCAAAGGGGGTGAATTTGGCGGGGTCCCACATCGATTGGAGAAGGAACGAGTGCCAGTGGTGGACCTGAGCCGTTTCAAAATGGTATCAGAGCCGGTAAAGACGCTGGTCCCAAAGGAGGTGGATTTGGCGGGAGTCCCACATCAATTCGATAAGGAACGAGTGCCAGCGATGGACCTGGGCCGTTTCAAAATGGTATTAGAGCCGATAAGGACACTAGCCCCAAATGAGGTGGATTTGGCGGGGTCACACATCAATTGGAGAAGGAACGAGTGCCAGCAAGGACACTAGACCCTACAGAAAGTGGATTGTGATATCCCACGTTAGTTGGGAGGAGAACATAAGAACAAAAACACCCTCTATAAGGGTGTGGAAACATTTCCTTGACAAACGCGTTTTATAAAGCCATGAGGGCGAAAGGGAAACAAGAAAGCCCGACAATATAGGATAATATCTACAAGCAGTGAACTTGGGCCGTTACATTTTTTATCATCGAATCTTATTTCCATTAAAAAAATGTAATTAAAATATTTGTTAATTAACTCGTTGATATTTCATATAAAAATAATAAAAAATAAATAAATTGACGTTTTTTTTGTCGGTGCAAAGATGTCACTTTTTATAGTAAGGACCTACCTCGAACGAAAGGGGGCGAGCGTTTCCACATTACGTATGGGATAGGGACCTTGTTTCCTGTACGTCCCCACCTAACTATGTTTTTTTCTTATCTATATATAATTTAAATCCGATGCTTTTGCCCTAAATCCTAGACTTTAATGGAATAGGTTAAAATTTTAATTTTTTTAATTATGAATTTTAAGAAATTTCATCTTTAAATACGAATTTCGAAAATAACCAATAAATAATTTATTAAGAAAATTTGACTACACGTCGAATCTATGACCTAATTTTCGAAATATTCAATGAAAAAATTTGCATAGACAGTCAGACAAAAAAAA